GAATTCAATAGAAATTTGACAAAATGTCTCCTCAAAGTCATTAACAAATATATTAAAAATCACGCTACCATAAGTTATTTAACAAGTCAACAACTGCGAAATGAAAGAAACATATAGATTCGAATATGCGCTAACGCTACCTTTATTGACACTTCTTCAAAAACACCTAACTCAGTATCCGCGTTTTCCGCTAACAGGCAAGCTAGCATACTGTATTTAACTATCAAAGCGTAAGTACTGTATACAAGTTAAGCGTAAATTTCAGCGATTTGCGAAAAAGTATGGGAATAATAGGGACCAAACCTATCGTTTCAACACTCACGAAAATTATCAAGTGAATGAGTATCTTTCGTTAATGTAGATGCTTGTATTAAAATGCTATTTCTACACAAGTAGTACCTTATTCTAAAAATGCAACTTTCATCAAAATAAATGTTTGTCTTAGTCTAATCTTGCTATATTTCAAGCCTAAACAACAAGGACTATTTAGTACGGCAAAGTGCTGCCAAGATAAGTAAACAAGTACACTGCCAAGTCGGCGCACGTTTCCGGATTAAATTTCGTTAAAACCAATGTTTTGACTAGAATCAAGAGAATCAATATAACTACTGTAAACCATGTCAGTACATACACTAGGGTCTTTGTATAGTATGCGCCTAGTTTAAATAACATATAACAAAATCACTATCTAGTTTATCAACGTTACTGGTCGTTGTCGTATTTACAGTAAAGCAATGAAACAGTCTAAAATACAGTATATACATTTCGATCTACGGCGGCTACAAATCATATCAAGAAGATACCGTATAAACAATGTATAAACAAATTTTATTTTATTTTAAATAAATCGTCTTTTTAGTCCTATCGTGAATTCTTTCTTTTCTTTCTAATTTCGAGCCAACTTAAATTTTATTGAGGGTTGCTTCTGCATATTGCTTGTTAATTAGACATCAAATTGTTTACCATTTTTGATTGAGGAGAATTATAAAAACAAAATATTTGATTTTCGACGATTTTTTGCGGCATCTTGAAGTTTTTTTTACAATTTTTGATTGAGAAGTTGAATTAAAAAAGCAAAATGATTGATTTTTGACTTTTTTGGCAGCCATCTTGAATTTAAAATGGCCGCCATGCTTGCTTTTTTAAAACCATGTTTATTGGACTCAGAGAGCACAATAACATACTGTATTATGATAAGACACAAGCTTTTCACCATTTTTGATTTAGAAGAGGCATTACATACAAAAATATTAGATTTTCGACGGTTTTTGTGGCGGTTATCTTGAATTTCAAAATGGCTACCATCCTAGGTTTTTGAAACTATGTTTATTGGATTCAAAGAGCACAAAACATTATGATTAGACCAAAGTTTACATTTTTAATAGAGGCGACGTAGAATTATACTGAAATTTTATATTTTGACCATTTCTACAGCGGCCATCTTGAATTCCAAAATGGCTTCCCTTTTAGGTTAATTAAACATGTCTTATTGAATTCAGTGACCCAATAACATAAACGTAGACACTAAATTTGCCTTTTTTAATTGAATATAAGTAAAGTTATGAGCAATTATCTGAATTTTGGCCGCCATTTTCAAAATGTCCACCAAACAATATGTTCCGCCTTTTTTCTGGAGGTTTCATCCGCTCAACTTTCTATTAATACCAAAATGATGCAAAATCAGTAGATAGAGAAACCTTGACCCCTAAAAATAATCACGGGTGCCCTGATTTTCACCATACTAAATGAGAATTCATCTCAGTTACTGACTATTATGCATCGTATCATACACACTAAGTAGTACAAGTTCCTTCTTACCTAAAGAATTCAGCCTAACAAATTTCATTTTGTCGACAACCAAAACACAAACAAGACAATGAGCATTATTATTACTTAAATGATTAATATAGTACATGCTGAGATTCTGCTGTTAAAATACACATTTCAGCTATTAAATTGTACTGAACTTATCAACACCAATTGCACTGTTACTATTTTTACTATCTTTATTGACAATAAGCATCGAATCTTGCATACTAACATACGTGTTCCTTATTACCAAAATAAATAAGCACAACACATTTTATTTCTTGACAAGCAAATACAAAGAATAAAATAATGAGCATACACAATTTTACATTTCAGCTGTTAAATTATACTGAACTCATCAACTCAATATTGTACTGTTACTATTTTAATGAGAGTTCATCTACTTTATTGACTATAAGCACCGTTCCTTACACCCTAAGCTATTTTTTTTACCAGAGAAATCATTTCTCGGCAAGCAAAGTACTGAGAAATAAAACAATGAGCATAGCTCCTTAGCATAATTAAATAATTAAATTGATATACAGTAGTAGGACTACAAACTGCCAAGCTGTTAAAATACAAATTTTTAAATTTTAGCTATTAAATTGTACTGAACTCGTCCGTCGCATTTGCACTGTTACTATTCTAGTTATGAGCATTCATATACCTTATTGATTATATACATCGTAACCCATGCGTTTTATCTTACCTAGAAAAATCAGTCCAATAAAATTTCATTCGACAAGGAAATATAAAGGACACTAGAATAATGAGCCTATAGCTAACTAATTAGGTTACAATATTGATGCTGCCATGCACATGCTAACATTTCCACTATCTTCGAAGTGCATCACTCGATAATTTTATTTTAAAATTCATAAAAAGTACACTTATCTGATTGAGGAAATTCATTTAATCTGTACAGTATATATAGTTATATAACAAGTTTATCAAATCAGATATTATTTTTATTTTGCTCAATCATTCTGTTTATATGAACACTATCTTTAAAAAATATACAATTTCATTAAAATAATATATAGAGTTTTATGAATTAATTCCTATCCGAATTTGTCCAATTCAATAAACTACTATGTTGACTTCTAAACATATCACAAATTACATTACAATTTTGGTCTAGAAAGTTTCCATAAAATAATGCTGGAAAATATCTTTATAAAATATAACTGTATAAGTTAATACAGCACAGTAATATTGTAATCTATGTTATAAGTTATACCAACTTCAAAATAGTACATCGTGTGCAAGAAATATAATCAGTATAACAATTGACAAAAACTAATTACCACATAACAAAAAGATTAAAATTAGGTAAAAAACATTGACAAGTGAACGTAGATGACTTACAATAAAAATGCCTTTTGTGCATCCAGTAATTATTTATACACAACTGGTGGCAGTAAATTGCCACCTGTCCAAACAAGTCTAAATTACGGCAGTATAACTATAGGCTTCGGAGCACATTTGGTTCAAATACGCTAATTTGACTTTTCATAAAGACAATTTACCCTACATGTTCACATGTTTGTATGACAATAACTTTTATCTTATCTTGTTTTTTTCTCATCCTTCGGATGGGACATTAGACCATTGGTTCTGTGCACATAATATCTGTTCATTGAAAAAAAAATATGGGAATTGTTCCCTGTTGCATCAACTAATTCAGTACCTGTCATATAATTTTCTTTTAGATTTTGCGCTAGTATGTATAATGAATTTCTGCTTATAAAACATATAATAATTAATAATCATATTGAAAATGCTAGGCAGTGATATTATTAGGTACTGACAATTCTTGTCCTATGTGCTTACATATATAACTAGAATGAAATATAAATAATGTTGTACATGCAAAATGCACAAACACAGAACACATCGTCATCTTTCTGCATGTCTAAAACGCATCAATACATTTATAGTGTGGCAGCAATCAAACTTGATTTATCTATCATAAAATCCTTCTAAGTGTAATGCTAATAATAATAATAATTAATCTTACAGACAGTGATATTATTCGCTGTTGACAATTCCTGTCCTATGTGCTTACATTATTATAATTAAAATGAAATATATACAATGTCTTTCACATGCGCAATGCGCAAGCACAGAACGCATCGTCATCTTCTGCATGTCTACATTTATAGTGTAGCAGCGATTTTTTATTTACGCATGTGAGAATAATGAATAATGGTTGGAAGAGTAGGCCTATTTAAGTAAACAAACATTACATTGTGTAACATCAATTGTTACGTTAAGTGTGTTAAGTACAACACAGAACTTATCTATTTTAAGATCTTTCTAATATGTGTGGAAGTGATAGTTTGAAACAAAAACATAAAGGTATTAGCTAGTGATACATTATTTAGTATTTATGAGATTAAACTAGGTACATTAATTACAAATATTCGAAAATTCAATCATTTGGTGTCTTATCGTAAACTTGAAATTTAATCAAATGTCGTATATTGTATAAATAGATAGCACATGAAAAATATACTTTGTACCTATCATACCTACGTCCTGTATGTATTTATTTTATTCAATTTCCAGGTATACGAACATACAAAACGACACAGACAAACAGTGTAGCACCCCGTGGATTGCCAGGAGTACAAAGTACAGTACTATCAAGCGGCTCTCCATGCTTCACCTCACACAGAAGAAAAAATACAATTACATTTAAAAAAAAGGAACAAATTAAAGCTGCCTGATATACGATCGAAGAGCAGTCACAAAGGAGTTAAAATTAAACAAAGAATTAAGATCTCTTATATTATTAGGAATACCTTGCCACAAACGAGGAAATCTATTAAAATGTGAGTATTTAAAAGAATTAGTTCTAGCAAATTTATGTTTCCAATAAAACTGATCAGTATATGTACAAAAATCTAAAACTGATTCTTTATCTATATCTATATATTTTGTTTTAATTGTAATATAATGCGGTTGAATAATTCAATTTTGGACAAGGTCATATTGAGACTGTAGACTAATATATTTCTATCAAACACTGACTTACAACATTTACCTCGTTCAATAACCATACAAGAGTGCACAACCTTTACCTTGTTCTATCTAGTAAAATCTAACTAGGCCTAGTTAGATCAATGTTCTGAAATGAAATTCTGTGAAATTAAAATTTTGATCTTAGTCTCAAGTATTTTCACTTTCTAATTATGTGCAATAGCTAAGTATTTACGTATTTGGGTGTTTGAATTAATCCGTGATTTGATTTTCTCACCATGTTGATTTCTTAGAGGTTTGATAGTCTGTAATTTATAATCACTTGAATAGATCAGAAGATCTCTTAAGTCATTCATTATTTTATTGGCTTTTTCATCAACAACGTCTTCCACAAATTTTAGGTCTGTCAAATTCTTGAAACAATTAGGTGACTCCTCGACCAGTAATAACATTTTTTTCAAAAATTTTAAATTATCGCCTTCAAATTGTATCATTATTACCCATGGCAAATGTATCAAGGTTGTAGGATCCTTTCCGAGTATTATGGAAATACCTTTAAAGTTTGGAGAAGTCAGTGTGATGGAACATGAAGATACTTTTACCTCAATAAACTGAATTGATATTGATTTTAAAACATCAAATGTTGATTCTAAACTTAGAGTTAGATAGATCCGATTCAATGCCAGACTCATTTCAAAATCGTTTAACTCCTGAAGGAAGCTCACAGGATTCATTTTCTCTGTCATATGAACAGTTTGAAGATGGGGGAACGCAAGAATTGCTTCTGCAGCTTTCTCAACTACAGAACATTCTCTTAAATCAGCATCCACAATTCCATCCATAGTCGTATGACTGGCTTTATAGAAAGTTGCCAAAGATGCACAGCTTGAGTCACTAAGAATAGCTTCCTTTGGCTTCATTTTAGAAACAAGTTCAGCCACTACCTTAGCATTCCCTGATGTAAATGAGTGCAAATAAACAGCAGATGGAGATAGCATCATTATTTCACTCTGATTAAGGGACCTTTCATAACCTAAAGTACTATTCCAGTATGCCAGTACCAAGGACCCTTTGGCGGTTTCTATGACATCACAGACAGTGCTTTTGGACATTTTAAGGTATAATGTGTTCATCGATGGTGAGGCTGGACGTAAATTTGGCACAGAGAGAGTTTCAGAGTGCATATCAGGTATGGAAAGGTTATTGTGAAATAATTCAATTGAGCTCTTTGGACTATCAGTACATTGATCAATATCTATTTGCAGAAAAACAGATATTTTAACTGTTGGTAGAACCGGCATTTTGTGGAGAATGTACTTTCCAGAAGGAATATATTGGTGGTATCTAGGGTAAAGATATGCTAAAACCCGGCGTGGTATAATCATTCTTTGCAATTTTGGTAGCTGAGAGAAAATGGTTACCATGTTTTCACAATCTTTTTCTCCACTTATAGTCAAATGACTGAAGTCCAGTACTTTGATTTTTTTCAAAAAGTTACGTCTTTTGGTGACTTCAGTAAGAAACTTGGAGGAAGCATCTGTATTCATCCTGACCTGAAGCACAAGCTCATTTAAATTTGGAAACAATGTCAGTAACTGGACAACATTCATAGAACATTCAGCACTTTCAATATCAGACACTAACGATATCTTCTCCAGTGAGGTACATCTTTGTTCGTTAGATCCGGTCGTCAATTCATTGACAAATGAGCAGAGCTGAGATGGCAGCATGTACCTTGGAAGACTAATAGCAATCAAATCAGGAAAGCATTTCAAAAGCCTTGCAAACATCACTGATGAGTGGTCATCTCTAAAAAACACCTCTGACGCCTCAATCTTCATAATCAATGGCTTTGTCCGGTGCAACATGGAATACAAATGCTTCAAAACTTCACCACTCTCCGTACCCATGAAGCCTAAATCCAAATACGTATGTTTAGAAACTATTTCACCAAGTTCCTTCAATACTTTCTGCTTGTTTGTACACTCTTTTAAGCAGCCTGTTGCAAGCTCATAATTTTGAATATTTTCATCCACGAATGTTTTCAACAGGGCAGAAGCTTTGTATTCTGCATTCAAGAGACCCACTAAGAACACAGTCACCATCTTCATATTTTTTGACATCAGCAGCTCAGTCGGGTACGGCTCAGAAATACTCTTCAAATAAAAAGCTGCCAGGAATTCCAACATGATTCTGTGAATTGTCACATATGATGGGATTACTTTGAGTGGCGTCACAATACTTGATTTAATAATCAAGCCAATACTCTCTGCGACAGTTCCATCTTCGAGGCTTAGTTGAAGCATTAGTGAGTTCTTTTTCAGGGCCTCTGATGCTACTTTACCAATGTTTGCCATGATGTTAAGATATAATGGAGGTATGTCATGGAATGTGTCAAAGTAACCTGACTTTCTTCCTTTTTCTTTTCTCTCATGACGCCTTATTAGGAACATGCAAAAATGTTTCAACAAGTCTGTCCATGTTGATGGTAAGCCTCCATGAATTCTACGGTACGATGATTCTTGCCACATAAGGCTCAGTAGTACGGCAAACAGTGGACACTCCATGAATTCTATTAAATTGGCTCTCTTGATCTCTTTCAAAAACAAATCCCCATCACCTAGTTTATTCTTAAATGTATTGTTGACGCATTCTTGAATTTGAACTTCAGAAAATCCTTCCAAAATCAAATGAGAATCAAAGTGTATGTCATTTCCAAGATTCCCTGACCTGGATGTTACAATTATAGTACTATATGGAAGATAGTCACCTTTAAGAAGCTCAATCAAGGCTTCCAACAATTCATCTGATGCATCTTCCCACCCATCAATTAAAAAAACAAATTCACTTGAGTTTGACTGAATAAATAGCCATATTTCATCATGAGTGAGATTACCTAGTATTAACGGCACTAACCTAGGAAAAAGTGCTTGTCTTAGAATGCCTCCCTGACAAGCAGGAATAATTTGATCTAATGTAATTTCGTGGACTTTAACAAAGAGCGGTATCTTATTACCAAACACAACATCACTCGATGTCGCCCAATCATGAACAATTTTTTTGCAAAACGTTGTTTTGCCATAACCTGTTCTTCCTTCAATTAGCACCTTTCTTATTTCTTTGCCATTTTCCACAATAGCACTTAATTTGAGAGGTCGTTTGTCTTGTTTTTGCTTTAGCTCAATTTCAATGTAGTTATCCTCAAGACTATGGGGGATAGGATTTCCAACATTTGGGTCAAGATGTTTGAGTTCTTTATACTTTGCAGTAAGTACATTCCTCAATGCTACCTTAACAACAGCTCCTAAAAGAATAATTGCCATACATATATTAATCACATAGTTAAATTACAATCATTATGTCGTATTTTAAGTTATGTACGTAACAGTTCAGCACAGTCTAGGTTTAGGCCTATATCCAACTTTTCTTTTGTATTGTGTAATGATTAATTTGTGGCATACCTCGTGGTGGTACAATTGAACTTGCAGGACTTGCACATGTGTGTATCCCAGGGCTGGAACATGCTCCGTATGGACTATGACACCTCTGACCTATGGGAAGATAAGAAAACCACAATATTTAAAATGGTGTAAATTGTGTATGAACATATCCAACTGATGAATTTTTAAATTAACAGGGAAATCATAACGTATATTTACAAGACAAATGTTAATATAGCATACATTATTATTTTTAATTATATAAATTTGAAGACGTTAAAAATGGCTTGACAGAAAAGAGAAATGAAACTAAATCCGCCACCGTTATTACCATCAATTAAAAGCCTACTAAAATTAAGAAATATACGTTTTATATAAGTTTCAGACAATATATTTAGTAACAATATTTGTTAATATTATACTTACAATTATTATATAGTGATTTTGCGAACTCTAACATTTCTGAATAGTCTGCATTTTTATTCCAACTTTCTCGCCAAGCAAGCAGCATCTCATATGCTCTTTTATTATCGTCAGCTTGCTCTTTCTTTATTTTTTGGAGCTCATTTGTTGGGACCTTGAGTTTGGTTCCGACCTCAAACCACTTGTCTTTAAATTCCTCAGCCAAGTGATAGAACTGCTCTGAAACTGTTGAAAGCATTGTTACTTAAAAACATTGAAAACACTGAAATTTGTATATATTCCTGTGTGGTACATACCACTTCTTTAATTGGTGTAGTACGTGATTATGACAAGCAGCAATGGGATCTGCACCGGAAAACATTTACCTATACGGTACTCTTCCGTTAAGTGTAAAAAGAACCTCATGTCCATAGAATGTGTGTGTCTGAGCCCCAGAGCACATGAACCAAAGTTGCAAGCAGATTAAATTGATTTGAAAAATAATAATTGGCCAAGACCAATTCCATTTTCAATCATCGTTATTATGGTATATAAATTACTTATTTATAAAATTCAAACAAAACAAAAAAGTAACGTTAACACTTTAAGGTAATAGACAACTAAACTAAAAACACCAATATTTTTAATAATTTAACGAAATTGTAACTTTCTGAATTTGGCCTGGTTTTGTGGGAACATTTTACATTATTATTATCAGCTACTACTACCTTAATAACTATAAATTGCAAATTGCAAGTGAAGTGCTGCGAAGTACAACTGCATATAAATGTTCTTCGAACAAAATTATTTATGCGAGTCAAGTGAAAATAATGATTAATAAAAACAAACAAATACCCATTGTCTATATTAGAACACTTCTCATTGGGTAACAAAGTCGTAATTTTTCATTTTAGTCAAAAAGTGTCTATAGTGGTGAATTATGGTTTAGGTTTTTTTTAAATAAAGTTTCAAAAATGTCTATGTATGTGGAAAATGTAGTTGATTACCAAAGGTTACAATTTTTATTTTGAAGACTGCATGGTCTAGGAAGTTTCTAAGGGCGGGTTTTCTAGGGGTGAGTTGACTGCCAAAGAGTGTTGCCAAAGTCCGAGCCAGCGTGTTATTTGATCACAAGTGCGAGAAATCGCAAGTGTGAGCCAGCAAGCCATGACGTCATGACAATAGATACGAGACGTTACTCGAGTTGTGCGAGGTATATCGGCTGAGATTTGTGGAGTACAATTCAAAAACAACTATAGGTCTAATAATGAATTATTGTGATGTTAAACAGACAATGTTAGCTATCAAGGAGCGACGTTGTCTTTCATTGGGACCTTCGTCCCTTCAAGGCTAGGCCTATACCGTCCTAGCTAGTCTAGGCCTAGAGTAGGATAAGGCTAGCGCGACATGCGGACGTTGGTACGTGTTGGTTAGTCTACAAACGTCGCCTAAGGTAATTGATTTTACCCAGCAGAACGAAAGAAGGAAACTCCGCTTTTCAGTCGTCTTAGGCCCTTTTTTGACAAACAATGACCTTTCAGAGGTCAAATTGCTGTCAAGAATATAAATTGGCTGCTTCGCAACAGTAATAGTGTAATAATAATAATAATTTCCTGCCTTCTGGAACTTTGCCTTTGGTTTATGGTCGTTCCCATCCCCCTTTCCCGCCCTACTGGAACTATACCTTTATTTTAGGTCGTTCCCACCCCTTTCCCGCCCTGGCGAACCATGCATTTTTTTGGGCTTTCCCACCCCTTTGTCTCCGTGAACAATGGCTTTTGCTTTTTTCACTAGCAGTCTGCTCATTGGTCAGTTTATCCATCCAATAAATTCAGCCGCTCTACCCAAACATATAAATATTTCTCTGTTTGGAGTTTCTGCAGATATTATTCTCCTGAAGACGATTGAAGAAACTCAATCGAAACGTCCAGACATTCTCAACTACAACAGTTCTTTTCAGAACTACTTACATATATTTTACTACTTCGCCATGCAAACCTTTAAACAATAATAATAATGATAATATTTATACTGATGATGATGATGATGATGAGATGAAGTAATATAAATTACCTTCATTATTACGAACAGGTAGTAACATCATTTGAGGTTCTTCTACAAAAGACAAAATAGGAAAATCAACACTACTTTAACGCACAGATCGTACATTACTTGCAAATGCGTTTGCAAAAGGGAAGGTGCATATATTTAAGTACATTCAGTTAGCCACTTATAATTTGACGATTTTCCTCAGGGATGTACATTAATAAGGCTTTCGTTCAATAGTACGCTGGGGGGGGGGGGTGGTTCGGACGAAACTCACCCCCATCCAATGCTGGAGGTCCACCTAGGTTAGGAATATTACATTTTAATCATATCATGTGTTGACAATATACAGTGAGTATCAAAGTTGTATTTTGTAGTCATTTTAATCGTAAAACACCTGTCGTTGAGCTTTTTCTTTAATCATAACTTTCTAAACGAAATTAATTTTCTTGCAATCCTGTACATTTACTAAGATACAGAAGTGGACTTTGATACTGCAGTTAGGTTCACAAGCACCCTCCACCTTAAACTAGACAATGATCTAAGCAGCCCCGGCCCTCAGCCAAGTTTGGTCCTCCCCCTCCCCAATTTACAACCCAGCGTACGGGTCTGTTCAATATCAAAGTAAACTGATCGTATGCTGTGATTTTGTGATATTGCATTTGTACCCACTAGTCAAGATTTTATTGGCTTCAATGGTAACTCACTCGGTCTATTGGACTTAAGAAGAGTGAAAAAAGATCAACTCACCCTCAACATAATGACATAAGTCAGGCAAATATTCTTCATTAATAATAACTTTAAAAATTCCAAGGTCTGTTAATGCCGCAGATTTCGCAAGTGCTGCGTTCCTTATAGCTGGGATATACTCATTCGGAATATCCAAATTGAGGCATGTGCATCCTTCAGTAATAGCACTGACCACACAATCAACATCCATGTGCAAAAATTCTCGGATTTCCTTGAGTAACTCGGAGAGTTCGTCTGGACTTAGCTGAGATGGACTGCACTTCAGTTTAAACTTTACACATGTATTACCGTTACCTGTGATAAAAATACCAATGATTAAACAAGAATTTAATAGTTATAATGGTTCTAAAACCAAGTTAATAAACCAGAAGAACATTTCCAATGGTAAGTCAAATAATAGTTTTGGACAGATGTAGAACCTAAGCATAGGTGCGCTAGTTCTTAATTGCATTAATGCCATTTAAATTGTCTCAAAATTACCTTGCATCGGCTTATCCTCATACAAAAACACTACATAATGGTTCTTCCTTCCAAAATCCTCTACAATCTTTGAAAGTGCCTTCAATTTAAGATAAAACAGTAGAGATTGTAGGATGCAGACATTGGTCCTACGAAGTCCATGCTTTTCTTCCAGATATTGGGTGAGGCTTTGACCATCTTCAAAAGTCTTTGGAGCTGGAAATAAAAAAAGCTAACGTAATTTAATTGAAATCAGAAGTCAATTTTGAGGATAGATACAGATGAGTGGACTAATACAAGTGCTTACATAGCCCATCTCTATGATCTCCATTCCTTTACATACAACTGGAAAATATTTACGTATTTATTTTCAAAATGTCATAAGATCAGGGTCAAAGGTCATAGCTGGGGTTGTCATATTTCCGCAACCACTGGTGGTAAAGAGTTAATTTTGGTGCCTATTTGTTCAAAAGATTCATATTTCTATTTACTCTTGTACAACATTGTGCTAAACAATGACCGGAAATGCCGTTTCTCACCTTTGACACGTTTCAAAGTCATAATAATAGGATCATTATATCTCCGCAACCACTGGTGGTAAACAGGTAGTTATGGTGTCAATATGTTCGGAACCTATAATGTTTCTATTTGGCCTAATTAAAAAGTTTGCTATAAAATAACCGGAAAAACTGTGTTTGCCATTGACACGTTTAAAATGTCCTTATTATCTCCACAACCACTTGTGGTAGAGAGTTAATTTTCGGAATACTCTTGTTTCTATTTGCTCTAATAGAAAATTTGCTAAAATATGACCGGAAATGCCGTTTCTGACCTTAGACATGTTTCAAGGTCATAATCATTGGGTCCTCATATCGCCACAACCACTTTTGTTACAGAGTTAATTTTGTACCAAATTGTTCGGAAATTCGTGTTTCTATTTGGTGTAATATACAAGAACAGTTTTCTAAAAAAAAATGACAGGAAATGCCTTTCTGACCTTTGATATGTTTCAATACATATGCCTATCAATATACATATACTGGCTGTAGAGACTTGATAGTGATCTCAAGTTTATCCACATGTTTATGTTTAATTGATTAGAACATAGAGCTAAGAAACATGATTGAAGCCATTTCTCATCTGACCATTGACCCATGGCACAAGACATTTATCACGTGATACTGGTGTTGAAAATAGGGTTCTTTTATCTTGCCAACCAGTGTTCATAAGAAGTTGCCTTTTGTGTAAAATCAATACCTGTCTCTTATACACATCTAGATGTGTATAAGAGACAGCTATATGGCTACGACCTTGAAACGTGCCAAATGTTAAAGAAACGGCTTTTCCGGTCATTTTTTTTTTTTAGCAAAATGTTCCATTGGGCATCAAAATTAACCCTCTACAGCCTGTGGTCGCGAAGGTATGACAACCCTATAAATATGACCTTATGACCCTGACCTTTTGCCACATTCTGAAAATGTTTTACCAAACGATAAATGATTCTTAAACCATCCTAAACCAATTTCTGAAGTTAAATTCTCTGGACCTTAGAGTGCATACAAAACCTGGTCTGACTACTAGGGGAAACAATGATTTCTACCTCTCAAAAGTCGCTTAATTTTTTTTAATGAAGTTGGATTGAGTCCGTCTTCTATATCTGTGAGCATACTGGTATATGCCAGGTCGACACGGTGTTGTCGTTGACCGTGCGTCTGTGACTCTTCCATATCTGATAGTAATAATCAACAAGGATAGTATAAATAATAGTAAATACAAGTCTCCCAATATAGCAAACAATTATTTTACATGGGCAGTAATTAAGTGAATCAGGCAACTCGTGGAGCTTTCTTTACAAAAAGTATGTGAAACAAGGTAGGCCTACGTGCTGTGCTGTAATTTGCCCAGAATTGTTTGTAAAAAACTAATCATTTCAAGAAATTTACTGTTAAATTATGTCTAAAGATATTTTCAAAAACCATAGATAGGTGGCCTATTCTTTTTTTTTTTTATTAACACAGATTAGCTCATTCATTATTATTTAATAAAAAATGAAGAAATTGCAATATTTCAGTTAAAACTATTTTATTATGTATATTAATTTGTGTTGAAATTGTTCCTGCATATTATCTAGTAACTTGACTAGGCATTTGAAGTATATTTAGGAATTTTACTGTACAAAAATGGCCACGAAAATTCATAGTTTTTAATATAATTTATTGAGTAAATCTCAGTTTGACCCTCTCTCATAAAAGATATGTTTTGTTTAGCATGGGAATCGTACGTACTGTTGACAAGCCACGCAACTACCTCTAATCCAAATAATGACTACATATAGGCCGATTTGAATAATTAAGAAAATATTACTCAATAGCAATTACAAAAATAGTCCCAGGCGACAATATGGTATTTGCAATTGAAAATAAAGAAATCACACATTTATAGTTGGTCTCATTCAATATCGAGTTATTTATGCGAGTTAAAATTTTTGCTGTGTGTTACAAACCCACGTGGCTATCCATTTTATGAAAAAAAATGACCTCTGGCGAGGTACATTGTAAAATATTGCTCCTCAAAAATGGCCCAAGTGCTGTTTTTGGCAGGAAGGGCAAACTTTGACAGGACTAGAAAATCGTTTGGATTTTTGATGGACAACTGTTAATATAATATGGAAAACATACTCAATTAACTATATACACTCAAGAAACCCCCTAACGTGGGAACAAAATCCATTTAGGAGGCGTTTATGATTTACAGCCTCAGTGGCCTACAAGCCACACATTCGTTCTGAAGTCATCGAAACTGTTTACGTTTTAAAAAGTAAGCAATTTTGGTTTAATTTAAAAAGAAATTCAAATAAAAAAAGCCTATTATATGTTTCAATACGGATTACAAAGTGAAAATCTTAAGAGAAAAATTGTTACAAATAACGAATGGCTTCTGTTATATTTTGTTTTTATTATTATATAAATTATTAAAGAATGTAAGAAACAATTTTGTTTACAGTAATTCCTATGTACCTAATACAGTAATTAAATACAATTAAAGTCAAAAACAAATATTTACCAATAACTTCTCCTGCCAAGTCATTTCTGCCAATGCTTGTTAAATGGTTTGCCAGCTTACTTCTAATCCCAGGGATTTCTGTTCTGTTTCTCCAATCAATAAGCATGCAAGTAATCGCAAAATTTATGGTCGTCTTATCGGCCTTCATTTTTTCGATTTCAGCCTTGCTAAAATCAAGATGGAAAGCCAAGGCCGTCCAATCGTCGCCTATTTTTCCGGCAAGCTGACACAGTTCTTTGTCACTAAGAACTTCAAATAGTTAATAATATTGATAAATAAAGTTCACTGCAATTTTAATAACAACTATAAATTAACTTGAACAAAAAACAGTACTCAAAAGGAAATTTCTCGTTGAGTACTGCTATCGACCACACAAAACATGATCTCTCAGGGTGTGTGTGTGTATATTGTACCAAACATTTTGATGTTTGTATAATATATAAATCTCAAAATTCAAATACAACTACATATAGTTCGCTATGTTGCTCTAATCTTTGAAATCTAACTCCCGTTTAACCAAGGTGATACTTTGGGTAAGTCTTGAAAACTCGACAAAAAATATCAGTTAGTCTTCTCCCTAAAAGCTTTTTTCTGTAGAGCTTTACCTCGATGACAACATAATACTTTCTTCTTTCTCTTCACTAACTGGAAAGGAATTTCCCACAAAATATTACTTTTGTACATTCAAATCTCAGCCCCTTTTTATTTCTGATCTTATTATACTCCCAATCCTGTTGTTACTCACTTAAATCCAACTCAAGCTCATCTATACTTCAATTTCATTCTTAAAATTAGGATTAAAACTCATCTCTTCTCATCCATCTATTTTTGTGTTGTTGTAATTAATGCTTGTTTTTTTTCTTTACTTGTCAAAATTCATCTTCTCTGTTTCATTTAATTTATTTTTATTTGATTTTGTTGGTACCATTACATGATTTTATACAGTCGATTACTATGTGGGAATTGCAGACTGATATATGCCAGTTTTCTGGATGTCAATATGGCGTTTAGTTGTTATAGAACTGTTTTTGCTAAATGGAGTTTGACAAAGAGAGTATCCATGCCACTCCTTTCTATACAACTTCAAATTTAAATTGAAAAAATGTCAAAATGATTGTGAACTAATTTAGTCAATTTTGAGCAGGTAACAAATATTAACAATACTACTATTGCTGCTGCTGCTAATAATAATAATAATAACAATATTAACAATACTAATAATAATTTTAGAATTTTTCAAAATTTTAAATTAATGTGTTATAATAATGTTAGGCCTATATTGTGAATGTTATGTTTTATGTATGTATACAAAATGGAGTTTTCAAAAATGGATGAGAATAAAGTTTGATTCTTGAATGTAAATATAGGCCCATCAAAATGGAACAGTGATAAGCCTACAGGGAGTTTTACAATATACTATACTAACCATTTTCCACTTTCTTCTTTTTCACTTGTCCACCTACAACAGGAGTAATTCACAATAATGCAGAGTTAGGCATATTAAAAAGCAGTAAATGGAGGTAACGATACAGTATTTTATATTGGCGGCTTGTAAGCTTACCGTAATGCCAAATATCAAAAGTATCTCATATCTACTAACTTTTCACATGCCTGGTAATTTCTCATTCGAATTTAAACTCCCATTGCAATACATATCATGAACCATGAACAATTTTTGAAAAACACTCCTTACTTAGACGACATTTGATAGTATCCCATACAAAATCGGAACGTGACTAAAAATTGAATCATGTAGCATATATACATAAATTCTTATTATGAAAAATGAAAGAATTTAAAATAGCATACCAGAATCCTCCGTGTGCCTGCGCTTTCTCCATGCACGCGATGTACAAGTTGGGCCTAAGCAAAAAAAAAAACTAATTATAGTTTAAGTATTTTGTATCAAATCATATATACGATTCAGTATATAAAACATGTTTAGATTGCATAAATAATATTGTAATAAATAATCCATTTGATTGTATATAAAATAGAAAAAAAAATACACACTAATTATAGTTTAATTATTTTGTATCAAATCATATATACGATTCAGTATATAAAACATGTTTAGATTGCATAAATAATATTGTAATAAATAATCCATTTGATTGTATATTAAATAGGCCTGTGTAATACAGCATTCTTTTCAAGTCAGTAACAAATCGTAACAGAATACATTAAAACATAAGTATAATGTAAACATTAACTGTATTTACTTAAGCATGATATTTATCATCATCAGTTGTTGCCACTCAAGTTCGATGTTGCCTCTCAAGCTCGATCCCATACAATCCCTACAGGTTTTTTTTTTACTGCTTTTGCACTGCGTAGCTTTCTCCGACGCAATAGCGTGTAGCGATTGCATAAACCAAACTTGATGCTGTCGCCGGGGACATCGAAACCCACTCGCTTGTTGGACAAATTCTGGCACCATTGTTATCCCAGAAACTTTAACTGCCAGTTAGCCAGAATCAGAGTCTTTGTATTCAATATTTATATATTAAATTTTATTCAAAACTAAAATTTTATATTCGAGTTGTTTCATCGAACTTTATACAAGTCTGACAATAACCTTGTCATTTATTGGAACTTACCATCAACTTGTGTACTTGAAGACGCCTCCATAGTGTTGATGCTATACACCCTAATAAGAAACAAGTTTTCAACCTAATAGTATTGACGCCACGAAAATGAATATACGCTTATCATGGGATTTTCTTTTATTAGGCCTTCTGTACGCTTAAGTAGGTGTGTCATTATTATAGTAAAAACATTTAATGAATAAGGTAATGTTTAGAATACGTTAAGGAATATTGCTTGTGATATCTTTTTATCGTTGTTACAATCATAAATGAAAATAAATATTTATTTATAATGAAATGGTGATGACAGCGCTCAAAAGACCTTTGGAACTCAATCCTAATAGAACATTATTCCCGAATGTTTCATTCATAGAATTAAGGTTCACCAAGAATGGTAGTGTAATATGTGTACCTGTATATGGAACTATTTGAAGAATTTCCAGAAACATTAAACGCAGATTTTAGTTTAGTTGTGTAATAAAGAATATTATAATATTACATAATTACATAATGTTAGGCCTATATATATATATATACATACATATATATATATATATATATATATATATATATATATATATAT